AAACTGAACTCTTCAGGCTTATCTGTGTGCTGAAAGAGCCTGCCTCTCAACTCTCAGCTGTCCCAAGAGAAAGGCAATACTAAGCTGGCCTTATAGTTGCACCTGAGCAGCTGAGGTTGCCTGATGCCCTCGCTCTCATTGCAGGTTTTATCCATTGTCTGATCTTGCTGCTTCAGTCAGGGTCTGTCTTTATATTTGGCATTGGCTACTTATCCTAGGGAAGGGAATCGGTGAATTTGGATGCGGTCTGAGTTCAAGACCTGATAAAAGTGCGGGATAGGATGCACATGGGGAGCTTTGCAGAACCTGATAGTCTCTTCTTACAGTGTACTGACTGCCAAGGATGGACAGCAAGAGCAGAGGGTGAAGAACATGAAGTGGAAGCAGAAACGGGTGGTTTTGGGGGGAAGTCCTGGCACCCATGGCTATGGCTGTACTCTACATGAGGAGCCATGTTTCCCAGTGGTTAGTCTGCAGGTGGTCTTGTGGCTAGGCTGATGCTTGTGACAGTGGTCCAGGGAGATGTGTGCCTTGTCTCAGCTGCATCAGATGGTACGTGGCAGGCCTGACCTGATGCTGTTATAGGGGTGTTCACTGTGTTAGAGTCAGGATTGTTACTGGAAACCACAGTCTGGAGGGAATGTGAAAACCCCATCATGGAACTCCTCAGTGTATCCTAGTGAGATGCTGAGCTGGCATCAGGATGGGAGAGGAGAGTGTTGGAGTGTTTCCCATTGAAACAGTTCAGAAGCAGATAACAAAGCAGTGTAGACAGCTCTAGATAAACCCCAGACAGGGTTTGCAGAGGATAAGACAGGCAATAACCCTGTCACTGTAACGGGAGGGAAGTTGAGCCAGTCCTGCTCTGGAAAGCCTTTACCAGGGCAATCCTGGAGACAGGTTTCACTAGCAGGTGCTTATGAAGCAGAGGAGCTGATATGCCTAGAGGTTTCCTGGGATATTGTGGAGCCTTTTCTCCCTGGGTTCTGCAATCGCTTCCAGGCCAGTAGCCAAGCACAAGCTGTAAATAACTAATGGTTACTGATGATCCCATCTCATTTTGCTGGGACGTTGTCAGCTCTGGGCTTTTCCTTGGCATCTTCTCTCCAGTGCTTTGCATTCCCATCTTCAGCTCTCAGTGCTGCTGTGGCATTTGGCTGTCTCCTTGCATGCTGTTGGTGTGAAGGAGTCCCTTCTGTGGTGACCTCATCAGGGATGTAATGCAGGGAAGGCTGATGGATCTAGGCTCTGTGGTCTGGGTGATGCTTGTGTCTTCTCTCCCAGGGGCTTCTCTGGTCATTGCTAGCTTGGGAAGGGCTGGAGATAAGGTCAGAGGAGGAATGTCTGGGATTTGCATCCATCAGTGTATGTGTCAGCACTCCAGCATGGGCAATGTGGAAAGCAGATCTTGTGGCCTTATCTGAGGCTCTTTAGCACCCATAACCACACAGGAAATGTCACCTGGTGGGTATCCAAACTTTATCCTGTCACTTAATGCTCCCATTTAATCAAATATCCAAACTGGGGTTCTGTCCATCACACTGCTGTTTCCCCCTCACCAATCAGGTATATATCGTAAGTAGCACTATTTATCTAGGTCAAATAATACTGTGCAAACACTGAGATATTGGGATACACACCTAGTGCATGTGTGTGTCCTCCTGCCCTCAACTCGTGAGCTTAGCGAGCCTCTTCCCATCAGGAACTCTTTTAGCTGGGAACATCTGGCTTGGTACAGCAAAGGTAAAGGTCCCAAGTGTGCAAGAGCCTGGAGCCACATCTCAGCATGGCAAACCTTGTCCTTCCCTATTCCACCACCTTGCTGTGCTCACTCATTGCCTTATCACTGCACAGTTGTTTGGGTAAGGGACTCAGCTGGACCTTGGTTGGCTCTGCAAAACACCCAGCACATCTTGTGTTGGGGCTATGTGCAGAAGCAGCTCACCATGGTCCTCACCCACGTGTGTGTTAGGAGCTGATGGTACTGTGGCCCTTGCACCCATCTCGCAGCTGTTTGGAGCGGGGCTAGGAACAGGAGGGGAGGTTTTGCTGTGCCTCTGGGGCTCACGCTGTTCTTTCCATGGGCTTTGTTACTGCTGGATTGAGTTTACAGCTCAGCCCCGTGTGGTGGCTGCGTGCCCAGGCTTCACTCCCTGTGTTTATTCATCTTACAAAGACCTGAGCTACAGACTATAACAGTGAGGAAAGGGGCTCCACATCAGCGCTTTCTGTGCTTCACCAGTGGTGGCTGGTGCCTGACCTGCTGTTTTATGCACCAGGTTGCTTTAGCTCTCACTTGCCTTCTGCAGCTGCTGCTCAGAGCAGCTCCTGCATGCGGGCTCCTTTTGATGCTGGGGGTCCCACGCTGTGTTTCCAGTCTCTGGAGGACAGGCTCAGTCAGAGCTCCCAGTCATCAGAAACACTTGGATTCGAGGTGAATTGTTCTTTAACAAGATTTCTTTCTTAACCCTTTCATAGCTGCTTTGCACGCATCAGCCTGAGGAGCTGCCCTGTAAATCAGTTGTGCAATGAGGGTTAAGAGCTCCACAAGTGGTGAGTCAGCACAGACGTTTGAAGAGACATGGGCTATCTCAGCTTGTCAAAATAAGCATTTCCTTTAAGCACAGAGTGTGCCACTGCCTGAAAGCTCATCATTTAAAGCCAGACTCTTTCCACTTGGGGTTTTTCCTGATGGTAAAGCAGAGCGTGTGTGGTGTGTGTATAACACAGGTACAGAACAGTGCAACCTCACAGCAATATGATTGAAGGGAAACCTTTTTGGTATGGAAACTTCTCTTTTGCTGATAACGTGTCATGCTGCTGCTATTTATAACCTTGGGGAAGAGCCTGGGCTGTGCCCGTTGGCTGGTCTGGGCCATCAGCTTCATGGGGTTATCCTGGCTGGATGAGCCATTGGGATAGGACGAAAACCAGCTATTGTCAGCGGGCATTAGCAGGCGAGCCGGAGGGGCCGGGCAGGGGAGTGCAGGAAGGCAGAGCTCAGAGGGAACAAAGCCTATGGAAAAGCAAATTCCTGATGCTTTGCACACCCAGAGACCATCTGGCACCATTCACAGCACGGACAGAGGGTGCAGGAGCTATGGCTGAGATGCGTGCTCTTGAGCTTGGGAGCCTGCAAGATGCTTCTTGGTGCAGAAGCTGCTGAAACGCCCTTTTCCTTCCTCCTTCTGTCCCTAAGGCTTAGCAAAAGGTAACCTGAAGCAGTGTGTTTCTTTCAAAACACAAAGCTTAGAGCCCCGAGTTGTATTTAACTTCAATGAGGAGCTTGTGGTGGGACCTTAGGAGAAGTGGCTGCAGCTCTGTCCCTGCACGTCCCTGTTCTGAACACCCAAAGTTGGCATGCTTTTCTGGTGAGGATCCTGGGTATCCCAGATGAATATCAGAGCTTTAAACTGCAGTGTGGTTTTGTTCTGGGTGTTTCCCACAGCTTGGTCACAGAGGACTGATCCCCTGCAGGAGAGAAGGGGAGAGAAAAGGCAGGATGGTTCCCAATTGAAAGAAAAGAGTGCCCAATGAAAGGTAAGACCAGGCTTTCCACCTGCACCTGAGTGATTTAGGAACAGGCAGGTGTGTGTGATGTGGGCAGGTTTGTAAATCCCACTTGAAGCAGCTTCCTCCCCTGTACTCCTGGCTCAGCCAGGAGGGGAAACCAAGAGCTACTGTACCCTCCGGAGACATCTGGTGAGCAGGGCTATGGAGGTGACAAGTATTTCCTGCCCTTCATGTATGAAATGCTTCATGCAGCATCTAAAGAATAATATTTAGCAGCGTTTTGTGAAGCAGGGTTTCCACATCTGTAACCCAAATAGCCTTGCTCTTTTATAGGACCATGTTCTGCTTCTGCTGCCCTCCGCAGCAGCCACTTTCTGTCCTTGGCTGTTTTGAGGGCACCTGAGTCACCCCATTTCCTTAGGGCTGCTGTTTTCACCATGTATGGAGGGCTCTCTAAGGATGGATAGCTTAAGGAGAAGCCCAGTTGGAGGATGGTTGCTCCGTCTGTTTTCTTCCTTCTTACCCGCAGGCTGCTGTTTGGAGCTTGCTACAGACCCATTTTAAGTATGCTGTAGCATGGAAGTTCATCCCTTTGACAGAAACGGACCTTCAGGGAAGCCTGTGTAGCAGGACTTTCCTACCATCTGATTCTAGTGGTTTGTGCTGAACAAGATTGCATTTCACTACTTTGACTAGTCAAAATTAACTGTTGCATTAGGTAGAGCTACTGAAAAGTAAAGTATTTGAGACAAAACTCTGCTTTTGTGCTATGTAGCTCTTAAAGGACTAATGACATCTAAGGGGAATCAAGCTGGTTTTGTGAAAAGGCTTGTATCTAAAAATACTAATGCCGATGATCTTGTTTTCCAAGATCTACTTGAATGCATCTTCCTGCTCTGCATGATGCTTTTTCCTTGGCTTTTCTGCCTTGGAGCTTCCTTTGCACAGACATCTTCCCAGGTGGGCTCAGCCTAAACCCTCCAGGCATTTCTATCAACCTTATGGCTTTGTGCTTGTCAGACTTGAGTGATTTAGGGGGTTTAGAGCAGAAAGATGAGACTGAGATGGTCTTCAGTGTGGTCTTGTCCTGTTGTGTGTTAGCTTGGCTGCTGGTCCCACCCCTTTTCCTTCCCTGTTACGCTTCTCAGTGTAATACTGACCTTCTGCAGCTCCCCCTTGGTCAATGCAATCATGCCCTGTGCTTAAGTATAGAGATAAAGGTGCAAAAACTAGATATGATGGAGATAATCTCTTTCATGCATGGGTTATTTAAGTCCTGATGCAGAGTAGTTACCTGTTACGGCACTGCTGTCCCTTAGTGCCACCTGGCCATAGCCAAGCCATCAGTGATCCTAACAATGGCCTTTGGCTCCAAAGAGTATCCTTGGTGTCACCAAAGGCATCCTTCTTTCTGCCCGTTCCCTGAGAGGGAGTAAGCCAGGAGATAACTGTGTGTGCCCTCATGGTGTCTGTTTCTTGGGTTCCAGAGCATGAGATGCCCTCAGCCAACCTCGGTCTGCCCAGCCACCTCATCCAGCACCGCTGGCCGCAGCCTGCCTATGTCACCCACACAGCCCCCATGGTCAAGATGCTCTTTGAACAGGATGAATGGAGAAGGGGCTCCTGCAGCAGCTCAGGAGAGACAGACACAATCGGAGAGCCCGGGGAAACCGGTTCTGAGGAGGAAACCCAAGTGCCATCGAAGCTGAGGAGAGGTAGCATCCTCAGGGCTGGGAGGGGTTCTGTCCAAACACTCATGCCTGAGAGCAGTTTGCCATCGACAAGTGGTTGCCACAGGGTTATTTTTGCAAGAAAACCTCCTCCGTGTGTGCTACCAAGTAGTTCCTTGGCAAGTTCCAGCAAGAAGAAATGATCTGCGTGCAGCTAGAAACAAAGAAAAGAAGATGCTCTGTAGTGTTTGTCAGAGCGCATTAAACTACACATGCAAATAGCACTTCACTTTGTGACCCTTTTCCTAAAAGCCCTATTTGAGTGAAAGCAAACAAACACAGAAGGTCGTGGTGCTGCATTTTGTGCTTGTCTGCTCTCAGGTCTGGAGAAAACAAGAACCTCTTCCTCTTGAACTTGCTTCACACACATCACTTGCTGTTTGCTTCTTGCAAATGCCTCGCAAAGGGTGCAATGCAGAGGCACACTGTGGAGATGGAGATGCCTGTGTGCCCACACAGCCCAGCACACACAGGACCCAGTTCTCTGCTCTCCTGCATCTTGTGACCCTGCTGGCATTGGTGCTGAGTGCCAGCAGCCACTGTGGGGATTTGGCTGGGGGTGACAGCCTCTGTGTGCATCTGCATCCGCATCCACTCAAGATGCTGGTCATTGGAGGTAAAGTGCACTGAGACTCTCTATGGAAGCTGTGTGCTGCTGAAGGAGCATGGACTAGAAGGGAGAGGAGTTCACAATGAGCATTTTCTTGTACTTTTATCCCTTTTCCCCAGGATCTGTCTGTCCTTAGGGTGTGATGTCTGTTCAAGTTGCATTTACTAGACTTTCCATATATATATCTATGCATGTGATGCTTTCATGCATACAAGTCAATAGCAGTGCAGCAGCAAAGCTGATCAATCAGCTGGTAGAAGACCTGCTACTCCTTTCCCACTTTTACAGATGAGCAGAGATGCTGAGGTCAAAATTGCAGGGGGATGTGATTTTTTCCTGCAAGTCCTTAGCCTTATGTGGTACTGGAAATCATTTACTGAGGGTCTCCAACACTAGTGCGTGCCAGCTCAGAGCTTAGGAGCTGGGGAATATTGCTAAATGTCTTAAGACTATTTGCAAGACCATAAGCTTTTTATTCTTTAGCTGACAGAGGTAGAATCCAGTTTTCTAGTACCATCTCTATGGCCATCTTCCTTCATTTGGACCTTCCAACTTGTGTAACAGAGCCTGTGGGTACCACTAGTGTGTGACTTTGAGATGGGACTAGTGCCACTCCTTGGCTGAATGCTTTGAAAGCAGTGTTGGGCCTCTGCAAGAAAAGAATGTAAAGAACTGGAAAATGCAAACAAAAGGGGAATCACTGTTTTCTATGGATGTATAAATAAATCTGTTCCTGCCCTATTTTGAGCCCTGGGTAACTCACCCCCTCGTGCCTGCACACGCACAGAGACAGCACGTCACAAGCCCCGTGCTCAGCAGTGTCTCTCCTGCCAACCCATGGCTTTGGTCATGAGCCACAGAACTGGGAAGAAATAAATAAACCTTCATTTCCAGCTCTTCCCTCTGACTCTTCTGTTGCTATCGAGGGATCCTGGAAAAGGGATGCATTGATGTCACTTACCTCCTTGCTCAAAGGGATGCGTTGATGTCACTCATCTCCTTGCTGACGGGGTGACTGCAGGAATAGTGGGAAGACCCAGCTGGGGCTGTGACTTTCCTGTTCATGCATGAGGAGGGCTGTGGGCCCTGTCCCCCTGCACCCCGCTGGCATCAGATCTCGTGTGCAGGGAGCACTATCTGTAAAGGGGTTGATGGTTTCTATTTAATAGCATCAGCATACATAACTGACTAGGATTGGGCTGTTTGGGGGTACTGAAGCAAGTGGAAGGGTATAAGATGTGATGTGAGCCACTGTCCAAGCTTCGCAGGGTTCCTGGTTTGCTCTGCAATCAGACCTTCCCAGTGAAGGGGGTACAGCACTGATTTCTCTCTAGGTTCATTGTAGGCCAGCTCTGTTCAGAGGATGTTGAAGGAAGGGTGAATTTTATGTGTTTGCATCGCTCCGGGATGGTGAGAAGGAAAACGCCCACCTTCCTTCTCCTGCGCAGAGGCTTTACTAGGACTGGTAAAGCCTTGTTCTTATGCCTGTGTTAAACCATTTTCACTATTACACCCCCTCCCTTGGGGAATGGATTCTTATTCTGCAGGTGAAAGACCAGAGTTATTTATGGGCACTTCTGTGGTGAGAAATGGTACAGAAAAAGGTTGAAACCATCCCTAGAGAGCCAGAACCAGCAGCTGAGGTGACTGAGAAAACATTTTCTTGTTTCTTTTCCACATGCAGTGTTTACACAAGTGCTTGAATGAGTTCAGTTCATTGTGGGAAGGTGTCCCAGGACATCCCTGCAGCAGTGTCTTGTCTGGGTGAGGGACCCTGTCCATGTCTGGGGCTGGCGGAGGCATTGCAGGGTGTTCTTTGCTCTCCTCTTTTCCTCACTGGATACATTAATGGATTTTTCTGCCTCAGTTCCTCTACAGCAGGGATGAGCATCAGCAAAATGTTGGATGCGGCACAAGGGAACATAGGGAATCCGAGGACAGGAGATGTAGGGTGGCTGTTGGAGGTGGGGTGGAACTGAAACCCCCTGCATCTGTCAACAGATGTAGCAGCACCTACTTAGTTGTTATAATATACAACTGGGGGCCCAGAGCTAATTGCAGCTCTAAATGACTTTTATTATGCTGTGGTTGCTCCTTGCCTGCTGTATTGAAACCAGATGCCCAGGTTATTAAATAGATAGAAGCCAGGTGCTCACTGCCTGATTTATTTAAGCAAAATAGGAGTTGATTTCCTGCAGGATTGAGTGTGGTCATATATATGCCAGCACCCAAGGATGGGATGAGAAGGGTGAGGAGAACAGTGGCCATTGTGGCTTGGGGACCGCTGGTGAGGCTTTTAGTGCTGCTTTGGGACTTGGCTGATGGATTGACTGGTTGCAAAGCTGCTGAGGGTTTTGAGACAGTTACTGTGCTCCTGAGCATGTCACTAATGTCTCTGGATGAGACACCTGCCCTGCTGAAAGGACCTACAGCACGGCACAAAGGTGACAAACCCTCAGCAGCATCAGTGGTGCTGATTCTGGGAGGATGCTGCAGTCCCCAGATGAGGTCTGTGGGGTGTCTGTGCCTCTAGCCCAGTGTTTTAACCTCATAGACCGAGGTTTGTCACTGAGCACCTTTCACCTCAGGGTGCTTTGCCACAGTTGGGAGCACAGCAAGTAGGAATTGGTTGTGAACAGAGCTTACACCAAGGTGTTCCCCAAACAGTGTTGTGTCTGCATCCACCACTTGACTCATCTCTCATTACGCAGCTCCAGTCAGAGAGCACTTCACTGCCATTACCCTCTATAAGTGCTCATGTTTGAGCCCTGGAGCAACTGAGCTGCTGCCAGCAAGTACAGTTAGCAGCTCATGGCTCAGGCCAAACACTGCCAGCAGTGCTCATCCTGTCCTCACCACCCCGTGCAGGCAAAGGGGAGATGCTGGTGTTTGCTGCTCTCTCATCATTTGCAGCGGTTCACAAAGCCTGTGGTGAGTGCAATGGGGTCACAGCCTGCTGTAAACTGCCTTATTCCGAGGTGGATTTCTTTCCTTAAAGGCAGCTTGGGGTGGGTTCAGTGGGGTTATATGAAATTGAGGGGGAGACTGGAGAAAACTGCTTGCCACAGGGATGGACCTGGGTAGTTGGAAGCCTCTTGGAATAGCACTGGAGCTTGGGTGAGCCTCGGGCAAAGCTGTGACAGCCTGGACTTGGCCTTTGCTGAGTCACTGTTATTGGAATTAAAGAGCAGTGGAAAACCTGCCATTTTCATGGAAGAATTCCCCCTCCCCAGGCGCTGCTCTGTCCATCCTCCCAGGCTACAAAGATGCTTATTTTCCTTTCCCCGGCATTGGCGCTGGGTACAGTTGTACTGTTCCGGGTCTCGGGAATGACTCTGTCTCAGTAGGAGCTTGGTATGATGTCAATGTTTCGAGTGGGTGAAGCAGAGGAGGCAAAAATAGACATTTAGACATTTTTCCAGTTATTCCTTTTCAAAAAGGAATATTTATAGCCGAGCCCATGAACACAATTCTCTCTTTGTGAGTCCGTTACCAACTGCAACACAGCACACTACCCCCTCGGACCCTCGTGTTCCCAGCCTCAGGACTGGCCTAAGCAGCTTTGACCTTCTCGCAGTGGGAGCCTCTGTCTCTATGTACCATACCACAGTGTTGGAAGTGTTCTCCAGTCCAGGCATGAAGCACCCACAAAGATCTCGGGGTGCTCAGGGGCTGGATCCCTGCATCATCCCCAGGATGGGGATGCAGCACATTGGAGTTTGAGCCTCGACTTTAAGCATAATTAAGCATAATGAGGGCTGTGATCAGGGTGGTTTTATCAGTTCGCTCATTGCTGGGTGCAGAGGGTCCAGTTCCCTGCATTTCACTTTACCTCCATTTCCCCATCCATGGGATTTGAATAATGGTCTTTACCGCACAGTTTAAAGTGCTTTGAGACCTTCTCAGGTGGTAGTTCACAGCACTGATACCTGATCCACCTCCCAAGGTCTGACCCTGCTTTCAAGGAGCTTTGGGTCTGTTAAAATGATGTGTTAAAGCTTTCTGGCTGCTCTTTCCTCCCCTGTTTCAGCAGGAATGGGAGCTCAGATGTGGGTGGCAGGTGAAGAGGTTTCAAAGGCCAGCACTGGCTCTTCAAATACTGTGTGAACTGTGTTTTCCAAGCAGACCTTCCTGCTGCCGCTCAGCAGGAAGCACTGGTTATTCTTGGCGATGCTCTTCACTGCACTCTGCAATCTGAACCGTGGAGGGATGGTGCCCTGAAGGGCTTCATCACTTGATGCTCCCCAGAGTGGCTGGGGTTTGTATGTTTGTGTTTATGGATCTGTTGTGATGCTTTGAAGAGCAGCTTGGTGGAGGGTCAACACTGACTTCTGTGGGAGTAAAACCCTCAGGGCTTTGGTATGACAAAGATGTGTGGGCAGAAAGGTGGGGCTGATAATGTCTGTACTCATGAGAGACTCTGCAGGTGGGTAGCATTCAGTGCTTCACTGGATCAGCCTCCTATGATCTAAGGGGGGATTTAACTTTGGCACTTGAAAGCCTTAAAGGCAGGCAAAATAATCCTGATGAGCAACAGGCTTAAAGCCTGGCACGCTGTAGTGCTCACCGTGACACAGTGCTCAGTGTGTGCTTCCAAAGCGTTGTCAGAGATCT